TGGGCCTTAGTTCTGTGAGTAATGCAACTTTTCCCAGCTTGGATTCTGTGTTCTGTGTTTTAAATTATTGCGGGGATACCACCCCCAAATCAAGAATTCTTGCTACCACACTCGAGAGGATAGACTAAGGCTGCAGAACATGAGCCCCAAAGCCCAGGGCTTGAGGATAGGGGAGAAGGTGAGGGTTCTTAGGGGCCTGTAAGGAGAAGCCAGCTGGGGATTGTCATGGATACACAGTATACTAATAAACAACCCCCCCCCACCCATGCCTGCTTAGTTCTTTAGCGTTTATAAAATACACACCCACATCCATTACCTCCATGACCCTTTCATTCCACAAACATGCAGGGGCCCTGGACCACAGGAGCAAATGGGACATGAGACATCTCTGGATTCCAGGAGACTCCCTGGGAGGAGAAACCATCAGCAATGTGGTCAGTACTTGGATAGGGAAGGTTGGGGCATGGTCTGGAGTAGGGAGGGGGAGCTCGGACAAAGATCTGGGAGAGAGAGACACGGAGACAGATTGAGAGACAGAGAGACAGAGAGGTCTGGAGTGTGGTGTTTAAGAGGGTTGGCCAAGTATAGATGGAGCAGGGCCAGATTCCCTTAGGGCCTCTCACAGGCCACTCGAAGAGGTAGTTCCTTATCCTGAGGGCACAGGGAGTCATCAGAGAGGTCATGGTCAAAAGAGGCACACTGTCAGATTTGAGTGCAGACCATAGGTCTGGGTGGAGGAGAGTGAATTGGAGGAGGCAGGAGAGGGGAAGGAGGCCCAGTTAAGAAGCCACAGCAACTGTCAGGGGGAAGCCCTGGTGTTCCAGGCTGGGGACATCCCAGGGGATCATGACTCTACTTCCCCCCAAAGAAATTGAGGTTTACACGTGTCAGGCAATTGCCCCAAGCCATCAGCGAGTTAAGGGATCTGGATTTGAGTCCTCATACTTGCTGAGTTCCCAACCAAAGCTTTTTTACCTCCCTGAGCTGCCTTTCACACCCCAAAATAGTACTAGTGAGCACCTGCTGAATGCTTAATGCATGTCAGTTCTGAGTGCATAACATGCATTAATTCATTCAATCTTCCCAACAGCCTTAGCAGATAGATACTCTTATTATTATTCAGATGAGGAAACTGAGGCACAGAGAGGTTAAGTACCTTGCCTAAGATCACACAGCTGGTGAGTGGCAGAGTCAGGATTATAATCAGGCAGCTGCAGCCAGAGGTGGCTAGAATTTTTAAGGCCCCTGAGATGTGTGTGGGATGGGAGCTTCCAGGACAGGGAGAAGGTGACTGGGGGAGTCCCCAGAGGTGATTAGAGGTATATGTACACCCTCCACAGCACTGATGGAATCTGTGCCCAGACGCAGAGGAAGCAGCCAGACCAGAAATCCCAAGACCTAAGTTTTAGGTTTAGCTCTGCCCTAAACTTGCTGTGTGACCTTGGGCTACACACATCCCTCTCTGGGCCTAGTTTCCTCACCTGAGTCGTGAACAAGATCTGTGGAGTCCTCTCTCCTTCCCAGCTCTGCTTCTCCCATTCCTAGATTAACCTATCCATCCCCACACCCCCATATACTCCTGGAGACTAAGGTGGGGGGAGGGGCTGGAGATGGGGGCTGGGCTGTGGAATGGAGAAGAGGAAGCAATGGAGGGACTAACCCTTCTCCAAAAACCTAGTCAACTGCAGGAAGTCCTGCCACCCAACCTGTCCCCTCTCTAGGCCTGAGCTTGTGTTTGGAGGCAGTAAGCCCCACCCACCTTGCTTCCCAGAGCCTGCAGGAACCAGCCTCCCACAACACTCTCCAGGGACCAGGCCTTGCTTAGAAAGTATCTCCTTTGGAGCCTGAGTCACCAGGTCCCTGGGTGATCTGGGAAACCAGTTACTAGGGGCAGCATGACTAGGAGAGGGGGAAGGAGGGCAGGTCTTGCCACCACCTTTGACAACAACTCAGCCTCTCCTGTCTGGAGCTTGGTTTCCCCAACTGTAAACTGAGGGGCTGGAATTGGATTCTCAAACCCCCATGGAGACAGGCAGCCACAGGGCCTCTCCCTGACACTTTCAGCCACCCAAGGACCTCAGGGAGGCCCTCAGCCTCAAAACAGGGCAGGTCTTGGAGGCAAAACAGTTGTGAGGTTGATGGTCCTGGGTCCCCAGAGTTCAGTCCTACAGCCTCAGACTGTCCCCAAGGGACAGGCCACTCCAGCACAATCACAGCTAGCACACAAGAGGAACCCCCAGCTGGTTTCTGAGACAGAGGGCTCGGGCAAATGACAGCATTCATGCAAACATCAGTTTTTCCATCTGAAAAAAGGGGAATAACAGAACACTGCACAGAGGTTCTTGTGAAGGTTAGATGCGTAAAAGAAACTTACCATGTAGGAAGGGCTCAAAACACTTCGTGTTATTAATTATAGACTTGAAAAGAGGAAAAATTCAGTGACTTCCAGCCCATCCTCATGTAGCACAGCTCAGCTCTGCTCAGTGCTCAGGAAGCCCAAGGCCTGGGGAAGGTGCAGAACAGCAGAGGGAATTGTGCCTCCCAGGAGGATCAGGCCCAAGGGTGGCAGAGTGGAGTGAAGGGAGGAGTCTGGGCTGGCAGGGAAATCAGGAGACAGTTTTCCATGAAAAACAGTGTGGTCCCTGAGGCTTAGCTCTAGAGAATCAAGGTCATCTGCCTAGGTGGGCACCCTCTGAGAACTGGGAGGTGGGAAGGATGTCACCATCTGTTGTGCATGAAGTAGATCCTGTGGTGGGAGGCAGGAAACCTGGTCATATCCCAGAATCCATGGTCACCCAGCTTGAGATGAGCACTTCCCTGCTCTAGGCCTCAGTTTCCTCCTCGATGAAACAGGAGTGTCAATCTCTGTCTCTTGCTCCCTGATGAAGGGGACTATGATCATCACTTCCATGCCCAGGCACTGAGGTGTGACTGGCTGCATTCTCAGGCAAGGAGTCTCTGTCAGGAGGCTGCTGTTAGTGGGCAGTGCTCTAGGGAGCCTGGATGAGTTCAGGGCTCAGATGAACCATTCATTCCTGCCTGCAGCCTGGCCCTCCTCTGGGAAGCCCCTACAAGGAGCTTCTTCAAGTTTAGCTCTGATCACCTCCCTGGCCCACTCAGAAACCAAACTTCCTGTCTCCTAAATGCCAGCCCAGCCCCTCATCTTAGCATTTGAGGGCTCCCAGCCTCCCTTTCCAGCCCTGGCCCTGCATTAATAACAGGTGATAGGCACTGAAGATGAACCAGGTACTGTGTGATGTGCTTAATCCCTCCAAGTCACACCTGCTTCTCAGGTGGGAACAATTTTATTCTCTTAACACTGAGGCACCCTAAGAAATCTCTGAAGTCACTCTGTAAATGGCAGAGCCAGAATTTGAACACAGGCTCCCCTCTCCTGCCTCATCCACACAACGGATGCCTCCTGACTTGTGCCACTCTTATGACATTGCCTCTCTGCCCCTCCCCCCTGCCGCTCCTAGCCTGTCAACTTGCTGCTCATCTCTCCTGTACGGATCAGGGCTGAAGCACTGAGACTTCCTGGGGGCCTCCCGCTTCCCCTCAGCACGCCCATGGCACTGCTCTTTACTCCGCCTTGCCTGGGGATCCTGCTCACTGCTTGAGCCTGAGGTGCCTCTACACTGACCCCACACTGAGAATACGCCAGTGAGGCTGGCATCCCAGACGGGCATCTTCAGGGCAGGGCTCAGTGTGAGGTGCCCTGGCATGTCTAGCAACCAGCAGTGACCAACCAGCCCAGAGGTACCAGTGCGCTTTGGTATGGGGGCAGGATTAACGGGAGGGGAGTCTATTGGCAAATAACTTCAGGAAACAAAGTGAAATGATGCATTTCTTGGACATGGTGGCTATGATCCCCACCTCCTGGCGCTCACTCTTGTGTGCTCCCTCCCACATTGCAGCAAGAATAGTTTGTGTGATCAACAGAATATCGCAGGAGTGATGGTATGTCACTTCTGAGGTAAGGTTAAAAGAAGTGACAGCTTCACTCTTGGTCTCTTTTGGATCATGTGTTCAGGGGGAAGCCATTTCATGAGTGGCCGAATAGAGAGGCCTCCATAGCGAGGAACTGAGGCTTCCAGCCAACAGCCTCAGGAGTGAGCTTGGAAATGGGTCCTGCAGCCCCCATTAAGCTTCAGATGACTGCAGCCCTGGCCAACAGCTTGACTGCAGCCTCAACCAGAAACCCTGAACCAGAACCACCCAGCTAAGCTGCTCCCGCATTCCTGAAGGCAGAAACTGAGATAATAAATGTTAGCTGTTTTAACCTGCTAAGTTTTAGGATAATTTATGATGTAGCAATAGATTATCCACAGGACTTCTCAGAGCATTTAAATCTCTAAGAAAGATATACTGCACAATGTAACATTCCCCTTCATTATTTGACCAAGGAGGCTTTCCTTTTTGAGTGTTCTTTGAGAGAAAATTGATTTAATATGGCTCTCATCCTACAATTAGATATAACTTTTAACCTAGATCTGCCTCACGAGCTAGCCATTTACCCTTCCAGACCCTCAACTTTCCCCTTTTATAGAGTAAAAAGAAACTACCTGCCTTTGCATAATTCATATATGCAGCCCCAGATGGTCAGATTCTGAGCTATATAGAGGTGGGTGGGAGGGTAGCTTGGTGAGGTTCTAAGAGGAGCTTCACCTTGGGCCTCAGGTGGGTTCTACATGGTGGTAAATTAGCCTACGGCCCACCATCTGTTTTTCTTCCTCAGGCCATTTCCCCAGAGTGGTGATGTATGATGTTTTCTTCTATCTTGTGCACAGCTCAGAGATGGGAGGCATGGACCTGAGTCTCCACCATCACACTGAGAATTCCTCCAGGCCAGAGCATGAGCCTCCCCCATCAGACTGGGATGGATGGCCCAAGTACTCTCTACTTTCCCCCCTCCTCCCATCCCATGGACACACCACAGCCATGGGCAAGAAGGAACAACAGGCCCTCCTGTGGCCATAAGAGTAAACATATGTCCTTCCTTCCTTCCTTCTCACTTTATTCCCTCTACTATTTACTTGGTAAAGAACTTTGTCAAGTTTCAGGATGTCTGATGGATGAAGTCCTGCATGTCCCTCTTTGTTAAAAAGAAGACAGATGTGTTTTTTTTAAAAAACAAAACAAACTATAATGCGAATACTTTATTATCAACGAGTGAATGGTATTAGCTTTTTGTCTGGGCATTAATATTTCAAAAACCATACACCAAACCCAGGCTTTTCCACCTAGCTCTGATGTATCATTTTCTTTGAGGAGGGGGGAAAAAAAAAAAAAGAGGGAGGAGGAAAAGAAAGAAAATATATCTGTATTGAAAGAATTATAAGCCAAAGTGCGTCTTTCTTGTTTCGTCCATATACACACATTGCACCATACATAAATAATTACATTGTAAAAATGACTCCATAATTACAAGTATAATATATATTTCCATATAATATATAAAACTTTATATTAAATCTAGGTAGATGATATTTGGGGGGTCTCGTCCGTGGGGGCTGTGTCTCTGGGCACTGGCCCTCCTGGCGCTGGGGCAGGTGGTGGGCGCGGCCTCGGAGCAGCCGCTATCTGTGGTTGTTGAGCAGGATCTCCAGCCAGCAGGGGCAGGAGGTGATGAACTGCCGGGAGTAGCAGGGCCCCCAGCCCTTGGCGAAGCTGATGCGGACGCTGTTGGGGTCGTAGGGGCCGTCGGCGGCGTCGGGCTCAGGCCCGTGCTGCAGCAGGCCAGAGCGCTCGAAGTCGAACACCTTGATGGAGTAGCCAGGCGGCACCTTGCGCACAACGAGGGCGCGGCCGCCGGGCGCATCCAGCGTCGGGGAGTTGACGAAGATGGGGTGCTCGCCTCGGTTGTAGGCCCACACGCCATCAGGCTCCTTGCTGAGCAGGATACCAAAGCCGATCTTGCTGCGCGTCCGCCGCACCGACTCGCTGCGCTGTTCCAGGTTAAGCTGGCCTAGGCAAAAGCCACTGCCCTGAGGTAGGTCGTAGAAGATGCTGACGGCCTGGTCATACACCGCGTAGAGGCGGCCCACACGTGTTCGGTGTTCCCAGTAGGCCACGCTGCACCAGTGGCTCGGCTTGGTGGCATCCGGAGACATGCTGGCATCTGCGGGGCAAGCACAGGGCACAGGGTGTTATGCAGGGTGGGGAGGCGGGTGGCAGAGGGGAACAGAGGTGGCACTGCTGCCTGGATAGTGGGGGTTGGGTGGTGTTTCTAGCGGTCAACAGACATCCCAGCACCTACTGTGCGCCAGCCTGGCCTCAGGAAATTTAACACAAAGCAGGACCCACCCCCCCAACACACACACAAAAGAAGAAACAGAAGCTATGAATCTACAGAGAAGGCAAGGCACCTACTATGTGCTTAGTGTTGTGGGAACACAAACATGAACCACATCTGGCTCCTGGACATAGAATTTCACAAGCTAGCAGGGGTTGGAAAAACACCCATGCACCCAAAGGAGGAACTGGACCTTAAGCACCTACAGGGTGCCAGGTGCTGTACACTGCACTTTATTTTAATCTTTATTGATTTCAGAGAGAGGAAGGGAGAGGTAGAGAGAGCTGAAACATCAATGATGAGAGAGTCGTCACTGATAGGCTGCCTCCTGCATGTCCCTGACTGGGGATCAAGCCCACAACCCAGGCATGTGCCACGACCCAGAATTGAACCTGGATCTCCTGGATCCTACCTAGGTCAATGCTGAACTTCTGAGCCACACTCAGCTGGGCGGGCTACACTGCACTTTTTACTCTGCATGTCACCTCACTGAGTCCTCCAATCACCCTGTGACAAGGCCACTTTCCCCTCCTTTTATAGGAAGATCCAAGACTTGGCAGGTACCAGCAGCCTATCCTGCACAGAGGGAGAATTCTGCTGGAGGTCTGATGAGAACACAGCAAGGCACTCCATGGCTCCTGTTCTCCATGGGAAACTGATCAAAGTCCAACTAACCCTGAGGGGGAAAACCCTGCTAACAACTTCACTGAGGAGCCTGAGCGAGGTCAGCTCTGTCTGTCAGCTCAGCCCCACCTAGAAACCCCAGAGTAGCAGGGTGACAGGCCCCCTGACATCCTCCTCCTATGTGCTCAGAGGCCGACCTAGCTACCCTAGCAGGAAACTGTCTGAGAGGCCTCATGTAAGCTGCTAACTCTGCTGTGGCCTTGGGCTGGGCACAGCCCGAAAGGCCATGCCCTTTACCCTATATCTGGCCTCAGTTCCCAGCCACAGGTCCCCAGGCCAGCTCCTGAGGAGGTATCATTTTGCCGCAGTCTCCATCCAAAGCCCTCATGGTTCTAGGTGATTGTCAGGTGGAGAAAGATGAAGCCCAATCCCTGCCCTCATTGACCTGCCCCTTAGCCAGTGGGCAGAGACACAACTGTGTCCTGTGGTGGGTGACCAAGCTGCAGGCACTAGCAGGTGGGCAGCCAGGAACACCCAAGCCATTGCCCCTATCCATCCATCCATCCATCCATCCATCCATCCATCCATCCATCCATCCATCCATCCGGCACTGGTTGGGAGTTCCCACGCACCATCCCAGCCTGGACATGAAACTCCAGCACCAACTTCTCACCAAGCAAAGAGCATTCCCATAGTGCTCTTGGCAGAGAGGTGAAGAAGCAAAGAAGCTATGCCCGGGCAACACTGGGCAACAGGATGGGCAGCAGGCGTCCCGAATGCCTTCCGTGTACTAGGCGCCTTCTTCACAACAGCCTTGATTCACCTCTGTTATCATCCCATTTCACAGGTACAGAAATTGAGGCCCAGGGAGGTGCTCTGACTAGTCAAGGGTATGCACTAGTGAGTGCTGTAGCCAGTATCAGTGCCAGGCCATACCCCAGAAGGGAGCGCTTCTCCTTACTCCAGGCAGACTCCCCGCTAAAACCCATGCATTGAGCAAGTCCCTCCCCTTCCCTAAGCCTCAGTTTCCCTATCTATAACCATGACTGCTTTTTTTTTCATGGCCTGAGTCCTAGAGGTGCTTACCCACAACCCTGTGAGTCACTCCCACTCTCCTACCCCCCAAACAAAGGGCCTTCACACTCCAAGTACTCGCTGCACAGTGTCACCAAGTGAGGAATTACTGCTATCCCCACTTTCAAAGATAAGGCTCAGAAAAGGCCACCTAATTTTAAAGGGTGTAGCCACTCCACTGTAAAAGGGAAAGAAGCAGTTTCATAGCCAGAGTGTGGGGGAGTAGGGTGAGGATAATGGGACTGGGGGGG